CCTAATAATTAATCATTTATACAACATTACAGGCCCAAAGAAAGAACTGCAATAGGCATATTTAGCTCTTACATAATACATGTTTAATATAAAATAATTAATATGCAAATTAACATATCAATTAATACGATAATGACTACAATTATCTGGTCTTTTTTGTCTTTTTTTAAAACAAGAAAAAAAAGAAACCACGTCTGTTAATGGAGCTAAATCTCTAACTCAGTATTTTCCATAATATTCAAATTTAAAAACACAAATTAATTAGAATTCAATTTTAACCAATTTCAATCAATATTGATGTTCTTGCCGTGAAACAATAGGATCCTAATATCCAATATTTAAGACACAATTAACATTTTAGAATCAGTACACGAGTCGTGTACCCTATGATTTCGGGTGCCATATTGTAATGCACGAAAATAACATACCCTACAACACAATATGGAAGTAATTAGTAATGGCTGATTCACAGACGACAAAATAATAATTCAAAAAATGTGTAGAATGCACTAAGTTGGCGTAAACGACTGCCGTTTAATTTGAACTGTTCACGTATTTCACCGAACATAATTGATTAGTTTTCAATAATTGCCAGCAATTGATGACTCAGAGAGATTGATATTGTCATTGGGGATCACAAGGAAATTTTTTACACAGGTTTCGTGGATGTACTGGTTACAAAACCAATTTTGGCGGTAATGTCCCCAACCTTTTGTACTAGAGATGTTAATTAAATGTCATGGACTAATATATTCATTTTTCATTATCCACTTTTGAACTATTATAGCAAGAACGGTCAACTCTTTCTACATCTTACATAATTCATCTTCAATGCCTTTATTTCAAAACTAGGGCTATTGCAGTAACGTTTTACCAGCCAAAGCCATCAAAAGATGCATGTTGTATACATATATAGTTTATGGTCCGAAATAATGTGTCTTGTCCCTGGCTTATACTGGTGCACTGTTAAATATTCTAGTTCCTTGGCAACTGCAGAGCGGACGATGTCCACTGACAGTTCCTATCCGTCCCTATAGAGCTGTAATATAAAAAAAATACCGCATTTTCCTACCTCTGTTCTAGGGCTATTTTGGAATCCTTACCGACTATTTTTCACCGTGATTCTTCTTTATTCGCCAAAGGAATCATTTTTTTTATCACAACTGACACACATTTATAATAATTCAACACTATTTTCAAGTAGAATTCTGCGATTAAAAACATACACAAAATCGCTAATTCTACTTGAAAATAGTGTTGAATTATTATAAATTTGTGTCAAATATTATAGTGAGAAATGATTCCTTTTGGCGAAAAATAAAGAATCACGGCGGAAAACAGAATAGGTAGCCTGGGTGTTTCCAAAAGAGGTCAAGAGCGATATTTTACCGTATTTTCACATTACAGCTATATAGGGACGGATAGGAACTGTCAGTGGACATCGTCCGCTCAGAAATGAAATGAGGTTTAACGTCCTACTGGGCTAATGAAGACGGGCATAGGGCTTTGAAAGTATTTTTTTTCAAGATATTTTTATAAAACAGATACTAATGTATTTTAGGGCTGGTAGTAAACACCATATGAATGAAAAGGAAAATAAATTGTTAGTTTTTTTTATCTACTACGGTTAATTATCTCCAAAATAGGGAAATTACAGATTAATTTCATGGGTTATTGTTTCCTTTACCTAGTTTTTGTCAAGTCGATTCCGGTCATTTTTTATTTTTTGTGTCAAATGTTGGGAGGTTGCTTGTTCACGTGAGCATAAATTTTTTAAACCCACCCCATGAAAGAAGTAGCTATAGGGCGTCAAACTTTGGGTGACGAAAAATGTGGAATTTAGACAGGCTTTGATATCCAGTCCGTATACAGATCTCGATCACCAGAATCGTCTGACGTTAATATTGTGGTAACAGCACTGAGTCATCGATAAATTGTGTGAGCTTGGTCTTTCTGCTACGTATAGTAAAGGTGTAAGGACTTGCCAAAGTTGGTATTTGAGAAAAGACAGATTTTGGCAATTTCACCATATGAAAAATGTTTTTTCAATTTTCTCATACAGGAATTGAAAGATTTATCTAATATTGCACATTTATGTGTTTTGGGACTATCCCAACTTATAAACCAAATTTGGTCAAAATCTGTGATTGAAGCCTTAGCACCTTCTGCATGGTTTTCTCGCGGACACGCTCTTAAAACTAATATTAACACATACAATGTACCTTTAAACTGCAGGTTTTAAATCTTTGGCTGATACAATTCAAATACTAGCACATACACAGTTGGTGAAAGAAAACAACCGCGATTTACTAATATAAATATAAAACTTTTAGCAAGATTAGATGAAGAATCCAACCTCACACTACAAGATTCTAAAACATTTGATCAAGGTGATGTTACTAACAAACAAAAGAAACCTTCGGGTCAAAGGTGAAATGAAACACTAGCGAGTGAACTCGAACTCACTGGATACCTTTAAGAAGAGTGTACAGAATAGGACAGTTTAAAGATGCAGTGAAGTGTGACGTAATATTTAAGATTACATTAGCATTGTGGCCATATAAAATATCCAATAAATAGATAAAACCACTCTACTACATACTCCCTCCCTTTAGGAAAATGTTGTCCCTAACCTATTAAAACCAACTAATAAAACATATCTGGAAATAGTCTCTTACACAAAACTGGTAATGAGTTCAGAACAATCTGTAGTCGATCTGGTGACAGGCTCATATAATCTGATATTAGTGACTTTGCCAGCCAGGCCCCTAGCCAGCCTGAACTTTTTAGGGGCGGGGTCTCTCCCTCCGTACGAAGGGGATGCCGGGATCCTCCTCAGTGACGGATCATGAGGTCGCAGGACCCTGAGGCAGTCTAGCTGCCGGGCCCCAGTGACAAAATGATACCCTAAGGGGGGGGGGGAGCTTCTCTCCTCTTGGTGTGTAAGGGGTCCGGGGGTCCTCCCTCCGAGAAAATTTTTGAAATTTCGACCTGAAATGGGTCTGTGGAGTATATCCCGGGCGGGAAGTCATATATACTTAGTTCTAAGCAGAAAAAAACTATCGCAGAGAGGCCCCACTGCCAGTCCGGACCCGACGATATCGGTTCGCAATTCTTATCAAGCGAGCTGGTTGATTGAGAAACGGGAGCCCGAAGAAAATATTGGACAATTAACAAGACCACTACCTGTCAACCAGAAATAATATTTCGGGTTTAAGGTTATGGAAAGATTTCTGATATCAACTACCTAATAATTTCAAAACTCATCGAAAAAAGGCAACTATATTTCACGATTTTTGGGGAAATGGTTCTTCATAATTTTTTTCTAGCAAATATAATTTTTTTTTTTTTTTTTTTTTTGGTCACCAAATCGCCGGGCCCCATCGGAGCCCGGGCCAAGGCCATTTGCATCTGTTGCCCTCGCCATGATCCGTATGGTGGCTGATTGGTATCATGTCGTGATGTCGCGGTGTCGCCCTTCATAAGGCGACAACCCGACATCACTACATCTTAACCCGACACCACGACAACCCGACACTACGACATCACGAAATCACGACATTTTTAACCCGACACTGCGACATTTTCACCCGACACCACGACATTAAAAATGTCGTAATGTCGCGTAAAAATGTCGTACTGTCGGGTTAAAATGTCGTGATGTCGGGTTGTCGTGGTGTCGGGTTATCGGCCATATTCCTCTCAATACTATGATTACGTACACTGAAAGTTCCCCGGGATTTTGCAGCGTGGTGCAGAAAAGTAGGAAAAATGAATATAAGAGTAGGCCGTAGCGCCGCCGTCCGAGCAAAATGTCCCTCATAACACACTGAATGGTGTAAGCTCGTCTTCATTATCCCAGTCGGAGCAGAACAGTAGGACGTTAAACTCCATTTCATTTCATTTCGTTCTGCTCCGACTGGGCTAATGAAGACCTACATACCCTTTACAGTGTACTGCCAGAGGTCCTTTTACGTGCACGCCAATATGTAAATGGGGTCTCGGTTTTTCGTCCATCCGACGGAGGGCCTGACAGGGGATAACGTATAGTCTTTTGGATGGGACAAAAAATCGAGGTTCCGTGTACATATAAGCGAGCACGTAAAAGCCCCCTGACTGTTGGAATTCAATATAAGAGTAGGCCCTAGCGCCGCTATCCGAGCAAAGTTTGGCCCAGGGTACACAGTTGGACGTTAAACACAATTTCATTTTATTCAATTTTCCTACTTTTCTGCACCAATCGGGCTATTGAAGATAGGCATACGCTATGCAGAGTGCTATGACGGAAATTTTCAATGAACCGTGGCATTTCTTCATCGAAATTCAACTGTGAAGGATTCCTTCATGTGCACGCCAACGTGTAAACAGGGGCTTGTTTTTTGTTCCATCTACACAACTAGACAATTTACTTTGCCAGACAGGGGGTGGATGGCCGAATGGTTAGCACGTGCGCGCTGTATCATAAGGCCTGTCATTGAGTCAGCTGGCGTGGTTTCGAATCCCCGGTTGTACGTGACAAGGAGTAGGGTCGCCTGTCCAACCTCGTGGGTTTTCTTCGGGTCCTCCGATTTCCTCCCACTGCTAAAGACCCCTGCGCGCAAGCGAATTATTGAAATAAAATTAAATCATGTTAGTCCCGAAATAATCTAGTTTGTGTTGAGTGGACGTTAAACCCCACAATCCGACACCACGACAACCCGACACCACGACAACCCGACATCATGACATTTTAACCCGACAATACGACATTTTTACGCAACATTACGACATTTTTGATGTCGTGGTGTCAGGTGAAAATGTCGTATTGTGATGTCGTGTTGTCGTGTTAAAATGTCGTGATGTCGGGTTGTCGCCATATGAAGGGCGACATCACGACATGATACCAATCAGCCACCATAGTTTGGCCAATTTTCGCCCGGTATCGTAAGGCCGGCTAATCGAGACAAAGGAGACTTGATATGTTTGACTTCATTCACGGGAGATAACTACCACCACAAAAACAAGCACCTGCCTGACAACAAGTAAACAACGGTGCACCGTTGGAAAATTTGTTTTCTATTGTACTATTTTAACCGTTACAATGGCGCTTCACGAAAAAGTGATGAAAGGGGATATATCCGATTTTGCAAACCACATGAAGAAAATGGTAAATAGTAAAGAAAACAGGTAATATAATCTAGAATTTCCTCTATCCTATGAATGAATGCTTGAATTAAAATGAAATTTGTTGTGAATCCAATTTATTGTCAACTCAAGCCATAAGAATCATTAAGAACTCACGATTAAAGCCCAGTCTGTCGTCCCTTTATGACTACCTGTACACAATTCGCTTAATTTGATAGAGAAATGCTGGTCTCAAAATGACCTAGTTTGGATGAGACCCATATTCCCTTTTTTGGGCACTATTAGGGCCTATATAGGCCTATTATATAAAACTGCTATAAGTTTATATCAATGATTCAACACCAGAGAGGCAAGACATGATACACCAAAGGCTTTCATATAGTTTATAGTTTCTTCCTTTCAAAATACCCCCACCATCAACAAAAACATATAGTCCACTAGAAGTACTTATCTTATGGACTAAAATATCAAGCTCAACTGGACCACATCATGTTGTCTACTTGTTTGGCTTTAGGCTTCAATCGCTGCTCGCCAGTTTCTGATTAAAACTTACGTTTCTTGGCAGAGAAGATAGACATATATTTAAGATACCGTGTGATATATTTTTTTTTTACTTGCAGTGATATTAAATTTATGATCGGTCCAAATAAACAGTCAGTATATGCACATCGTTGCATTCTGTCCTCAAGGTGCGCCGTGTTTAAAGCCATGTTTTCCGAGCATGTCGGCAATAACAAACATACAACCAATGATAAAGATGTACCTCTTGTTCTCACAGAAACATCACCAGAAGTATTTCTTGCCATGTTGGAATTTATTTATACCAATTGTATTTCTATTTCCTCTAGAATAGTGAGTATTCCTATTATAATTAATTAGTGGTACCGGTATATCTTCTTATTTTTGTTGCCAGTAAGTAAATATACTTTCGTATGTATTAAAAAATAACAGTCCTTAGTATTTAGTACCAAATTTTTCAGGGTTTTTTTTTGTAATCTAAAATCCAAAATTGAATTGGTTTGGCCTTTCCCCTAGGGGGGTTGGATGGCTAAATGGTTAGCGTGTGCGCGCTGTATCATAAAGTCTGTCATTGAGTCAACTGATATGGTTTTGATTCCCTGGTTTTACGTGACAAGGAATAGAGTTGCCTGTCCAACCTCGTGGGTTTTCTCCGGGTCTTCCGGTTTCCTCCCACTGCTGAAGACCCCTACACACAAGTGAATTATTAAGATAAAATTAAACCATATGTTAGTCCCAAAATGACCTAGTTTGTGTCAAGTACACGGTAAACCCCATTTCTCTCTCTCCCCCCCCCCCTCCCTTTTCCCTAGCTAATATTCATTCAAGTTCGTTCTTTCGTGAGTTAACGTCCACCTCCATTCAAGTCCCAAGAACGCACTATCCCACTAAAAATCTTAGTTTTGAGTGACTCTGATATACTCTTACAGATCGAATATTTTAATGACCGCAAAATCATTTATATTTTCAGGCTGTTGATGTTTTAGCTTCTTCATTAGAATATGGTTTAGATGAGTTGAAAAGGGTGAGTCACAAAAGAAAGCATACCATACTTGAAAATGATTGCCGTTTCAGATTTGCCTCAGGACACATATTCTACAGATTAGTGCTAACCATTATTCAAAATGGGGCTAAACTTGTGCCGTCATCATTTTTTATTCGGGGTTAACTGTACATATATATACACAAACTTAAAATCTGTATGATAGTAGTTTTTCTAAAACAAATGAATGATTATTAAATCTGCCAACTGCAGGTCTTTCTTTAAGCCTGATGTAAATTATTAATTAGACATTAATTAACTTATCCAGACCATAATCAACTCTTGATGTCATCGCTAGCCTCCAATATTTACTGGATTATAATCCGATCTGCTGCTCAACTCTCACTCATGATTAAATCAAAAAGTGAAAATAATCAAGACTATGTTTTTTATCGTACCGACTTTAGTAATGATGATCGAAGCTAGGCCCAAAATTCATTTGCTAACTTCAGCAAATTCCCTTTACGTTATCTAGTTTTTAACTATTATAGTGAGAACTGTCAGCTCTTTATCTAATCTTCCATAATGTATCTTGAGATTAATTCAAATGAAATGAAATGCCATGGAGTTTAGTCTTACTTTTCTGCACCAATCTGACTAATGCTGTGTGCTATGAGGGATATTTAAATCAGACTAGGGCGCAATGGCCATATCTTATTTCGATTTACAACTGGCAAGAGATCTTAAACTCAACGCTAATGGTAAGCCGAGACCTCTGAAATGAATGCCGAAAATGTCATTTAAAATTAAGATATGCTGGTATTGTCTGTCTATATAATTTTGGAACCACTGTCTTATTTTGACTGTGGTTGGTATAAACGTAAGCGTTTGCTTCGAAATACATCTAGTTTAGTTTATTTTTCGGTGAGATTATTGTCAGCATTGACATAACAATAATATTTATAGTAAAGTGAGATCTTTAATGTTTTCATAGTTTTTTCTACGTTTTTTTATGTATTTTATTTAGTTATGTTCATCGTACCTTGTTGAGATTTTAAATACAAATAACGCTTGTGATACGATGCAAGCTGCAGTTTTATACAGCCAAGATGATTTAAAAGATAAAACGCTTCAATTTATAGATCAACATACAGCGGTAAGCATGTATTTATTTTCCACATTTGAGACGGATATCGACTTTTGTCTCTGGCAGTACACAAATCGCTATAATGTATGCTTAATCATTTTACAATAAATTCTAGTTGAAATGAAATGAAGTCAAATAGGGTTTAACATCCTACTGTTCTGCTCCGACTGGGCTAATGAAGACGGGGCATACGTCATACAGTGTGCTAGGTGGGAAACATTGTCCATTATCGCCTACTCTTATATATCGTATTACAACTGCCAAGGGATCTTTTACGTGCACGCCAATGTGTACACAGGACTTTGTTTTTTCCCATCCCACAGCTGTCATTCATTGTGAGATCCTCCGTCCTGCGTCACTGACAAGAAACCATGTCAGAAAATCCTGATGAACTTTCTCGACCAACACCGGGAGCAAACCCGCCACATCCAGGCCAGCATCTTACTCACTCAGTCACCGTGGCTCCCAAATTCCTAGTTACCATAACATCTTTGAAAGAAGTTTTTGTTAAGTATTGTTAATCTAAATTAAAGTGTTTTTTAGGGGGTTTTATTTGGAGATGTAGCCTATATAATATTACCCCTTTCTGGTTGTTGTTTAATAAAATGAATTAATGTCTTAATACTCCATTTCTACTTTCAGGATGTGTTTAGATCTAAAGGGTTTCAAGAATTATCAGCTGATTCGCTGGCCACCATATTAAAAAGTGATAATTTAGCTATTGATGAAATGGAATTATATAGATCTGTGAAAGAATGGGCAACAGTAAATTCGGTAAATTTAACATAGCATTATTTTTCGATATATTTCGGCATGGCTTTTCTTGCAGGTAATTTTCTTCATAATATGTAGCATTCAGTCGTTCCGACAAAGAAAGGTTACATCAAGGAAAAAGATAAGAATATGATGGACGTTTGATTTGGAAACCAAATGTGTACTGAAATCGGAAATCGTCTGTTATTGGATGATTAATGAACGTTTGATCCGTTTTACATCCTTTCAATCGGTCCCAAAAGGAAAATATTGTGTGCATGCACGGGCAACACAGTTTGTCCTTTATAAGGTAATTGTTTTGGATGTATGCCTTCATAGTTAATTTGCTGAGGGCATGACAAGGGACAGCGTAGGCCTATAGTCGTTCGGATGAAACGAAAATCTGAAGTAGAATTTGTTTGAGTTTCGACTCCTGATAACTTCTGTATCGTCCACTTGATACAAACTTGGTCATTTCAGGACTAACATATGGTTCAATTTTATTTCAATAACTCGCCTGTCATGTACAACCGGGGAATCCAAACCACGCCAGTTGACTCAATTACAGACCTTATAATTCAACGCGCACGTGCTAACCATTCGGCCATCCCACTCCCAGCATGTTTTGTAAATTAAGTATTTGATTACAAATATGTTACAGGCCCGGAACTCCTAAATACCCTTTTAATCTGGCCCCAAAAGTCACTACACATAGCTTGTGGTTATAAAAAATTTGCCTTCGAAAATGTAAAACCCATTACCGCAAATTGAAATTATTCGGTGACTATTTTAACACACTTTATTGTTTTTGATAAAAGAATTTATTTCAATACAAATTATGTGTTGAAAATTTGTTTTAAATTGCGTAAGGCTTCAATGAATGTACCGATGTAGCGGCAACCACGTTGACGCTACAATATTGCAGCTAGTCGTGAAGAAGCAAAAGAAAACTGTGTTATCTTGTACTATAATATAAGTAATTTTAACTTAAACATACATTATGCAAGAGCTAAATCTGTCTAATGCTACAATATTGCAGCTAGTCGTGAAGAAGCAAAAGAAAACTGTGTTATCTTGTACTATAATATAAGTAATTTTAACTTAAACATACATTATGCAAGAGCTAAATCTGTCTAATGCATGTTTTTCTTTAGGCAGGCCTGAAATGTTATCTAAATTATTAATTAGACATTAATTAACCTATCCAGGCCATAATCAACTCTAGATGGCATCGCTAGCCTGCGATCTTTAGTGGATTGTGGGCCGATTTACTGCATAACTTTCCTTCACGATTTAATGATTAAATGGATAATCGAGACTATGCTGTTTATCGTACTGACTTTAGTAATGATGATCAAGGCTATGTGGAAATTTCAACCACTTTGTTCTCTGTTCATAGTGGATCAATTTGAATGAAATTTTCAGCAAATTGCCTTTACATTATCTAGTTTTTAACTATTATAGTGAGAACTGCCAACTCGTTATCGAATCTCCCATAATGTATCTTTAATATATTATTTTAGGCTGTGGATGGTAAACCAATAAAAGAAGTTGGTCAGCAGTTTGTCAGTTTAATTCGTCTACCTCTTTTTTCACCAGAAGAACTTGCAAATTTAGAAGAAGAAAATAAAAAAGAAAACTTTATACCGGTAAGTAAAAGAGTGCTGGCATCTATTTTGGTCCACACATGTGTAGCCCCAGATTTTGTGAATCTCACTGTGCTAAAGCATGCTTTTTTTATGTAATTATTACAAGCTACGTTTTAATTTTCCCGTTCAATAGAACAACAATTGTTTCCTATAACAAATGTTTTTTTCGGAAAGATTACATTTCAAACCCTTTTAAATCGGCAAATTGAATGATGTGATTTTATGAGTGTTGATTTTCCTTTTCTGTTTATAGGTTGAATCATTTGCATTTGCGTGGAAAGTTCACGCACTTAAACATGGAGAAAAGGGAAACCCCCTCACTACTAAAAGGAAAGGAACGAATCCCAGAGATGTTCATAAATATATAGATAATTCAAAATAGACATTTGACTATTGATTAGTGCGACAATGAAGCTTGCGTTTTAATACTGTATCCATGATAAAGCTGCGAAAATGTGAAATGGAATTTCTGTACATTATATATAAGAAAACAATTTCTTCTTGTAAATAATTAAAATTTTATAGAGGAGGCTTTATCTAAAGATAGCAGGGTAATGATTGTGATTGGTGCATGCACAACATGACAACGAATAGTCTCTCTCTCTCTCTATTCTGAAATTTTATATCTTCCATATGCAACTTTTGCCAGTCCCCTTGATATTAATAATATGCATTGACACTGGACCCATTCAGCATTGCATCTGTCTCGTATAAACTGAAAAAGGTTTTTCGAGAATTACCTATACGACAGGTATTTTAATGTAGCATTTGCCAACTTAAAGATGCATTATGTAAGAATTAGATAAAGAGCTGGAGGTTCTTGCTATATTAGTTCCAAAAAAGGTAATGAAAATTGAATACATGCATATTGAAAATTTAAGTCAGATTACTTCAGTCTGAGCAAAGTTATGGGTGCTTGAAGTTTTGACATGTGGCCTTAATTGTCAAGTAACATTGCAACGATAATCCAAAAAAGTCTTGATTATCCAATCTAACATTAAATGGCGCGGGTGTTCTAATCCATTCAATATCTTGGTCACCCGATGGTACAGAGAGTTGGTTTTGACCTTGCCATGTGAATGAATGTCTAAATAGTAATTTACATAACATTGAGGTCAGAAAAAGGACCTGCAATAGGCACATGTAGCTCTCACATAATGCATCTTTAATGATAATATAGTTTTAATCTTCTTTTAAAGGTTTTGCAATTCATTTATCACATGAGAAAATTAAATATGTACATAGTAAATCATTCATCAGTGCTTGCAATCCTTAAAAGTCGTCATTAGTGATAATTATATACAGTCTTGGTATTAAGTTTATTTTATGTAAAAAAAATATCCAATATAGAATTTATTTATTTATTAAATATATTGTAATGCATGGAATTTTCTATTTTTTGGGCGAAGCAAATGGGGCTATAGACGAATATATTCCGAGTTTTGGTTGTATATATGTAGAGAAATGGGGTTTAACGTACCCTCGACACAAACTAGGTCATTTCGGGACTAACATATGATTTAATTATATTTCAAGATTGGACAGGCGACTCTACTCCTCATCACTACAACTGGGGAATCGAAACCACCCGAGTTGACTCAATGACAAGACCTTATGATACAAAGGGCAAGCACTAACCATTCGACTCCCCCCCCCCCCCCAAAAAAAAAGATTTATGTGGTCTATTTTTGGGTAGCAACCATAGAATTTTCGGACAAAGGTATTATTTTCCGGGAATATTTTGGGCCCAAAACGAAAGACAAATTGATAAACATATTGATTTCCTCAAATAAATTGTCTCAAGGATCAATAAATTCCCTACCACATCAAAAACGGTATGGGATAGGATTTGCAGGATTAAACGTAGAAGTAGTGTATTATCAGTTAACCACCTAAATGTTGATAATACCACCATTACAACATTTCCGGATATTGCTAATTCTCTGGTGAGTGCATTTTCATTCAATTAAACATCATTCTTCTCTGATGCCTTTCAAGACACTAAATAGCAACAGGAAAAAAGGCGACTTAATTTCAAGTCCCGCAATGATGAATGCTACAGTGATAATTTTTCCGTTACTGAGCTACGTGATTCGCTTTAGCTAGTTCGCAATACTGTAATTGGTCCAGATGAAGGTTTTAAAACATTTACCTTTTCCAACATGTTTCATTTAATTGGATCTTTTTAACCGGATTTGGGTAGATGGGAATTTTTCTCCTTCGTGGCATGAAGCCACAATAATTCCCGTTCCTAAACCGGGATTCTACAAATACTACTGCCTATCGTCCGATCCCTTTGTCTAGCTGCATTTGCATGACCATGTAGATAATGATCAATAGAAGGTTTGTGTGATACCTTAAGTCCAACAAGCTTATTACTGACCTCCAGTTTGGATTTCGGTACCAAAGGAGCACTCTCGTTAGATTTGAAACCTTCGTCACTGACGCTTTCATCCAGAAGCAACATTTAGTTGCTATATTTTTTGATCTGGGGAAATCGTATGATACCACATTATTAGAATTTATCAGCAAAGATATCGTCTTTTGCGCCACTCCCCAGTCACGTCGATATAAAGGGGAATGATCAAGAAGATTTAGCTGCCAAAAGCTGCTTTAGATCTTCCCCTATCTCAATTTTTAATTCCATATACAGATTTTAAAAGTTGTGTAACGGTCTTGGGATCTTGCAGGCACTAACAAACTTTGTCACATTAAGCCTCTCTTGGGTGATTTGTCAACTCCTATAGGTCCGGGTCTGTATTGTAAATTGCTTGATTTTTTAAAGGAGATCACATTTTTACAGAAAATTAGTGTTTTTGCATTTCTTGTATTTTAATTATACACACATAAAGATTTGTGATATTTGTTTTTAATATATATGAAACTATATATTGTGATTATTATATAGCCTGTTTTGAGCTGAAGTGCCATAACCCTTTCTTACACGACAGTAGTCTTAAAATCCGTCATCACTCTCGCTTTGCTCAGTTGAGCTTAAAATACACTTTCGCAGTCCTTAATATCTAGTCTGAAAGAGGACGGACGAAGTGTCTTTATCCCAACATACTTGAAGAATCATATTTGTGTGATACTTTATACAAAACAAAATGATGTCCTGGGATTTTTTTTTATAAAAAAACAACTTCTAACTTGCAATACAGAACAAAATCCATATAGGCCAACATATTTACAATTACAAATGATTCAGATATTTACAATGCCAGTTTCTCGTGGTTAATTGATTTATGTACAAAAAATGGCAATAATTTACAAAGGCAATTAAAATATGATGTTCTTAGATATTCTTTTAGATTAAGATGCATGATCTTTAGTCCTCTCAAAAATAATATATTCCAAGGAACAAATATATACAAAAGAACTAATTATAATAATATGTACAATTAAAAATATATTTATATTGTCTTTAATTAAGTAACTGGAAAATGCACTCGGTGTTTCAGTTGATGATTTCTATTATTGGATTTATCATAATTTTGCTTTGTACACATCAATGGCATACTCTACGTATCAACATACTAGCAAAGTGTGCTTTATGTCCTGAATAATTATAAATTTTCTCCTGAATATCCATTTTATCAGAAGTAATTTTGTTATTAAGTATTTCATTCCGTTATGTATCTGTCTGGACCCGAAGATGATTCCGAAATAGAACAAATAGGACGTATTCCTTCAGTGGGTTGATATAAGATGTTGTCGAAAGCTTGGCCTGTCGAAGATGATCTGGGATATAAATCTGTAATAATAGCTGCAGATCTTTTCAGCCTAGAAATTAATTATAATAATTTTGTATAATAATTATAAGCAATAATAAATGACAGTCATGTTTTATCAAGAGAGCGTTTGGTCAATCTAGAAAACATAAACATTTTTACAAAATCGCCCAAGATCGACTAGGATCAATTATTACATAATAGCTAAATCTGACTATTGTCGGTTTTTATTTTGGTTTCAAAAGTTATATAAATTATTATTTAGATATGTATTCACATGACAAGCCTATAATCAACTCTCTAGACAATCGGGTGGCGCAGATGTAAACGGATTGAAATACGATCGCCATTTAATGATTTAATCTAAAAATAGAGAAGCTAGGCTGAGTCTCGATTAACAAGTAACGATAATAAACAATCTATGTCAAAACTCCAAATAGTGATAACATGGCTCAGAATAAAGTAATTTGAATGAAATTTTCAATGTATTAATTTTGAATTATCTATAATGGAACTATTATAGCAAGAACGATCCGCTCTTTGTCTAAACTTACATAATGTGTCTTTAAGTACGTGGAATTCGTAAAAGTATGTGTGAAATGAAATGAAATGTCTTACTTTCTGTGCCATTCGTGCTCATGAATACGGTTGTGTGGCAGTCTACTGTAGGGATATTTTTAGCATGCTGCAAGTAGTAAGTACAAACAGGACTATCGTGCCACCCGAACGACCTGGCGTTTTTCCTTACCAGGCACCTCTGTCCTGCACCACTGACATGGCGGTAACCATGGCAGCTACCGCGGCTTTCGTGAACGGTCAGTTAGAGTCGACAGACGACTCTACTGTTGGTCACGTACAAGCGGGGAATCGAAACAACACTCGACACAAAGTAGGTCTTTCCGGGATAAACGTAATAATTTTATTTCAATAAGGACCCGGAGAAAACCCACGAGGTTGGAAAGGAGACCCGACTCCACTGCACGTACAAGCTGGGAATCGAAACCTCGCCACCCGACTCAATGACAGACCCGATGATCTAACGTACACCCAAGACCCAACCTCCCGAAAAGTAAAAAAGGAATTGCTTGAAGTTCAAGGTCAACGCTGCCATCACTATCTTAGGTTAAATCTCGTTTACGTTTCCTGGAGTCATTCTGCGAGTTGTTCAAGTACTTGGTATGATTACCTCATTTAAGTTGTTTATTTATGAAATAAGCCGAAGGTATTCATTGTAATGATTGACGAGTAATAATTAACTCTTTGTAATCGGCCGAAAGTAGATTGATTTATGATACGTGACCGGTTCATTGTTTTACCAATCGGCCTGATAATTAATTCTTTGCAAATCGGCCGAAAGTAGATTGATTCGGGATAATTTAGTGGCCGGTTCATTGTTTTACCAATCGGCTAGATTAAAGATCAATCGGCTAAAGCCGACAAAAAACAGCCGATTAAGATCCCTGCACCCAACCTCCCGAAAAGTAAAAAAGGAATTGGGGTGGGTTTGGCTGTTCATGGTATTGAGATCCGCTACAGATGACTTACCTATTTTTCTTCACTCGAACAATAACTATAGCTATGATACAACAAACCGCTACAGCTACACATATCATAGCAACAATCCATTTAGTATCCAATACCTGAAACTGTTATATGGAAAACAATTAACTGTTTATTTATAGTATTCCATAAAATTGTGAACTATACTAAAATGTCATAAAAATAATTTAGTTGGCTGTTTTGGTATGGTGTATTGTGTTTATTTATTTGGGTTGTTGTTTTTCTTTCATTTTATATTGGGGTCGGGGTGGGGGTGGTTGGTAGAGTGGTCTGACCTTTGTGCCGCAGATCATAAGGCCGGTTATCCATGCTGGTGGCTAGCCAGTTTCCTCTCACTTCTAAAGCTCCATCCTCCGGTATATGTTTCTGGATCTTGCATCATTGTATAAGACACTGTATCCGCGTGAATTCCAAGCGCAAGGATGTTGTATGTATTTTCACAAACAACATAAAACCAAGACTGGGACAATTGAAAGCTTCGAGGCAACGGGAAGTAATCGGGTTTTACTTGCCGTTCAGCACCATAAGCAGTCTGATGCATTATAAATGGACTTTTAAACAAATAATAAATATTAGAAACATCTACTGATTGGTCAAATCAAAATCATCAATAACTAGACGAAAATCTTGTTCTGTGAGAATATTTAGGTGAAGTTTTACCGGATTCGAGTCTTGTTTTGCTGTTAGCGCATTTCTTGTCGTGCCCTCGTAGATTTCATATGGAATTTGCCTGTAGAATTGTTCGGCTGTCAAATCACTTAATAGTTTTTCTAATTTTTGTTTAGGTATCCTCCTTCTTCCAGACACCACTCGAAATGAAACGGACGTTATTTCTTCACTGTAATACAAAATGTTGACATATTTATTCTTTTATCTTCATTAGCCAAGTCACAGTAGAATAATAGAACATTAAACCCTGTTTCGTTTCTATGTTACGATATATCGTAATTCAAATTATCAAAGTATCCAATGGACTTATGAAGATGGGTATATGTGTAATATTTTACTCGAATATCGGCGTTTCAGCTTATACAATGTACGTGCATACAACTTGCCAATGGTCAACATGGGATCTTGGATTTTCGTCCCATTGGAACGAGTCCATAATTTGTTTAACATAAATTGGTCGTTACACAAGGGAGGATCTAGTAAGGGCACACCCGGCACACTTCCCCCGCCATAGCTAGATCCAGGGATAGGGGGCGCTTTTTAGAACCGGATTCTTGTCTCAAATCACTGGAAATGCTTTTTCCAGGCTTCTAGGTTTCAAAATTTTCCGGGTAAGAAACACCGCCATCACCCCCTTAGTGCGCTTCACGGCTTCGACGCTGGCAGCCGGGGGCTTCGCTGCCCGTGCACCCCCTATCCATAGTCTCTGGGCACGTTGGTCGTTGGCTTCGTATTGCGTCCAATGGAAAGGGTGCGGTTCGGCGCCCAGGGGGAGGGGGGCTGCCACCCTTGCCCCCTTCCCCCGCTAGCTACGGACCTGCCTAGTTGTTCGGATGAGAGTGTCTTGTATATCACTGGTAACCCGTTAAAGACCCCCGAAATCAGAGTAGACAGTTGTCCCACACCAGACCAAAAAGTCCCTCATCCTACTACCTGGCCTATGCACGTTTCCATTAGCCCATTTGGTGCAGAAAAGGACGGCGTTAAACGCCATTTCCATTTTTAATTGTTAACCATAATTAAGTTCTTACCCCATTTGTCCAAAAACAAACTCAGTTTTTACCGCCATTCGTATTCCCGAGTCTTCGTAATTACCATACTGTATTAGAATCTTTTTTATACCATTCCTTACTATACCTTCATCTACCTTACTTAAAGAACCCTTTACGTAAAACGGTATCCTTATTTCTGAAAATAATATCTTGACGTACAATAGGTTTAAAAAAATGAAATTAAAGTTATTGCTATTTCAACAAGACCATGCTTTAAAACCTGTGCAGATCAACAGGGCATACATAACGTACAATATGCTTTTCGGATGGAGGTACATTAAAGAACCCATGACAGTTGGAAATTGAATTAAAAGTAGGCCGCTCTCCGATCAAAAACGTCCTTCATAGCACACAGCATGGCTGATGTTCGTCTTCAATTGGTCCGACTAGTGCAGAAAAATAAGACATTAAACAAATATTTCATTTTATTTTAGCTGATGTGCCATGCAAAATGTAAATGATGTGAATTATATTAATGATAATGCTGCTTTGGATGTGGTGTACACCCGATGTTATAAACGATTATGAAACATAAAAAAATCCTAAATACCTTTTGGTTTGTAAAATATTTGGGATGTTGTTGGTAAATGCGTTGTTATTTCTGTGGTTGTTATTGGTGTAGTTGTTTCTATATATTCAATTTCAGTGGTTGTTTCATCTGAATAGTCAGTCGATTTTATAGTATCGTCTGTAGTTGTTTCGTTGCAGTAAACGCCTGACCAATCGCTGGAACAGTTACAGTAAAAATTGCCATTTTCCTCTTCCACGCATGTTGCATTATTATAACAAGTTCCTCCATCATAACATGGGCCTATTGATGATTCACAGAGTGGACCGGTGGACATGTCATCACAGATACACCCAAAACTGCCATCATAGTCTATGCACGTCGAGTTGTTAAAGCATGGATTGGTTGAACATTCATCGATATTTTGAGAGCAATTCCAGTCAGTCCTGCCATCAGCGCAGATACAGTTATAGCCTTCAGGTAAATTGATACACGTCGATCCCTCATTACAACTATTGTTGACACAATAATCAATTTCACTTTCACAATATACACCTGAAATTTATTTATATAGAATGGCGAATATCAAGGTGTTATAAACAACACTGTTCACTACAAGTATATATTATACTGATGAATGGATCTCACAATTTGTCTGCGATATCACCCAAGGTGGAAGCGGACGTAAAACCCTACGAACGAACGGGACTCACAAAGGTTGGGATGGCCCAATGTCTAGGGTGTTTCGCTTCGAGCTCTAGCTGGCCAGGCAACTCATGCTTGTCGTCTTGGTTTTGATCCCTGTCGTGAGCGTACAAGGCTTGGAGATAGGGGCGCCTTCTCAACCTGGTGGGTTTACTCTGGGTACTCCGGTTTCCTCCTGCGATATCACACAACGTTAAGACGGAGGGATAGAATAGGGTTTAACGTCTCGTCAACATAACACTGTGATCATTTTGAGACTAACATGTTACATGTTTTATTTCAATGGTCACGTGTGCAATGCCATGAATTCCATCTGCAAAGGGTTCTTTTACGTGTAGGCTAACCACTGGGTACACTCATAGGCGTACAGAGAAATTTTTGACTGGGGGGGCGGTGGTGGTTGGTGCCCAAAAAATGTAGTTAGGTTCTTAGTATGTTACATAATAATAATAAATTTGCTGTTAAATTGGACACATTCAAGAAAGCAATATTATTTTATACAACTTTTACAAAGTACAATTGTGTGCCCAAATTTTCCCAGCATTTGGTGACCAAAATGGGGGGGGCGGCTGCCCAACTAGCTCAAGCGAATAATGGATATAAAATTAAACCATATGCTGGTCCCGAAATGACCTAGTTTGTGTCGAGTGGACGTTAAGCCCCATCTCTCTCTCTCACTCTCTTAAAACGTTCTTCTCGGCCCACAACAGGATCCAAGCCAGGGACATTATGGTCGAGAGGCCCGTGCCCTATCGCTCGGCCACCCCGGCCCCAAAACTGATTGACAAAACATGGACAGGATGATGAGTTAAACCACATTGGACAAAAATAATTATAATCCTCCATCGCGCATGGGTGCCACTGTAATAGGGTGAATCTATTTTGGGATGGTTGTAATTTTGGATTATTACTAAGTCCTTACCAGAACAAGATGGCATAACTTTGTGACATTAGACCAATCGCCCGCTTTTTGGATCGGTAATAACTATAGTCCAAATGTCTGGCCTTTTCATCGGCCCTGCCATCTGGGGTAACTATTTTGATGGCCGAAGCCTAGGGGACAGTTTTTTTTTCATTTTAGAAAATATGTTGCTCTGCACTTACCAGTATATCCAACATAACATTCACAAACAAAAGCATCAATATGATCAACACATGTAGCATTGTTTACACATGGTTCATCAACACAGTCATCAATATTTTCTTCACATAGTTCACCAGTATAACCTGCTATACAACTACAGTTAAACCCGTCTATCTCTCCCATACAGGTGGCCTGATTCTGACAGGGACTGGCACTACAATAATCTTCTTCACAGAGACCTCCACCATATCCTAGAGGGCACTCACATTTATACGAACCTATTAAATTCACACACAGTCCACCATTTAAACATGGCTCAGATTCACATTCGTTTACATCCAATTCGCACTGTTTACCTGCAAGAGAAATCAAAATTTCATTCATAGTACACTGTATGGTGTATGCCCGGCCGTCTTCAATGGCCCAGTCGGAGCAGAACAGTAGGACATTTAACCCCATTTCAATTTATTTCCATTACTATATCATTGCTTTGGATTCGGATCCTTTATACTTGGAAACTTGCACGGGTTAAAATCTAGCATCCATATAATGTAATAATCATTAATTGTCAATTTCCATAGCCTTTCTTAGCAGTTCAGACTATCGATGGATAGGGAAACTTCAATTGGACAGTAGTCAATTTTATCATATTGCACCAAATACAAAATAAATAGCACAATTAAATGTCTTGTAAGATATTGATTTTTATGACGTACTCTTGAAATATCCATCTGATTAAAACACAGATCCTATTTCATTTCGTTTTTTTTTTAGTTCAAAATTTCGTTTTATTTGTCTGTACTACAATAGGATCTGGAAAAGTTGTTAATGTAACCTGTGTTGTGGATGGCGTGAGGGATTAGCCAATTTAACCATCAGTTACGGCGACGTCAAGGCGAGCGATGCACGGAACTGTGGGTAAACCACTGGAAATGTCAACGCTGATCGATTAATCAATGTCTGACGTCATAGGGTCAAAAGCCGTTTGTACGGCCTTTGACTATAGCAGGTAGTGTAGTGTAGGCCATCGACGGTATAAAAAAACGAAACAAAATATAGATTGTATTTTAATCAGATTGCTTATAGCGATCAAACAAACAAATATACAAAACTTTCTCGTATCCCACGATATACTGTATTCTCTTTCGTATGTTGAGGGTACATGTTTAAGAATCCAAGTGATGTTTTGATTTCCACATAAGTTTGTGGTGGTTTGACATTCAAAACAAGTTGGGGTTTGTTTTTTTTTTTGGGGGGGGGGGGGGGGTTGGTGGGGGGGGGGGGGTCTGGTTAAATAGAGATATCTGACTTATGTTGAAAATAACACAAGCTTTGTTGTTGTGATCACGAACATTCAAATTGAAATGTTGAAATTAACCTTTTAACCTTAAACCTGCGCAAAATCAAATTTCATTTACAAAATACTTATTTAAAACTTGACTTACCAGTAAATCCAAGTGAACATATACATCTATACATATCGACCTCATCAATACAAGAACCATTATTTCTACATGGTGACGAGTCACATTCATTAATATTTATTTCACAATATAAACCAGTAAAACCCGGTAAACATTTACATGTGAAGTTACCAATACCATCTAAACACGAACCGCCATGTTCACATGGTAAACTTTGACATTCATCGTAATTTAATTCACAGTTACTACCTATACACAAAAATAAAAACGAAAATAGAAATTAAAGAGGCGAAGCGACAAAAGACCAATCAATATTTTCTCTATTTAAACTTAACAAATATAAGGAATGGGAAAAGTTTAATTGAAGTGAAATTTGGATGACTACAATGAGTACAACTTACGTTTAGTTTGATAGATTTCATTCATTTTTTGAACCAATCTAATTTTAAAAGAATATCGGTTATTGTGTTTGACCTGAAAGTCGATATTTGCTGGATTATTGGACCTTTAAAGAGTTTGGCAAAATCCCGACAAAGACAAGACGTGTCGTGGTCAAAACTATAGTTTTAATGCGATAAGAAATAGGCAAAAACTATATGGGTCATATGTATTCTACTACTAAATATTATAATGTGTTTGGGGCGGGTAGAATGGTTAGCAAGAGCGCGCTGTATCATAAGGTCTGTCACTGAGTCAACTGACGTGGTTTTGATTCCCGGGTTGTACGTGGTAAGAAGTGAGCGAATTATTTAAATAAAATTGAATCATATAGGTTAGTCCCGAAATGACCTAGTTTGTGTCGAGTGGACGTTAAACTCCATTTCTCTCTCTCTGCCCTAGGTGGTTGAATCTATAACCTTGTGGGCCGTATATGAGTGCTTTAGTAATGTTTCCCTGGTATTTAAACTCCAAAACAATTGGGTCAAAAATTGATTGGTATTTAATTGTTTTACCTGAAGTGCCGCCTGGACAATAACATTTATAGCCTGCTACTTCATCTTTACATATACCTTGATGTAAACAAGGTGATGATTGACACTCATCTATATCTGTTTCACAATTAAGCCCCGCCCATCCTTCATTACACTGACAATTATAATTGTTGATAAGATCAATACAGGTACCATTATTCTTACATAAATTACTATTACAATCATCTATATTTATCTCACAATTTCTACCTGAAATACATAAATTACTGTTATAATCATCTATATTTTTATCTCAAAGTGTCTACATGAAACACATAGATTACTGTTATAATCATCTATATTTATCACAGACGACAGTGTCTACCTGAAACACATAGATTGCGGTTATAATCATCTATATGTATCTCACAGTGTCTACATGAAACACATAGATTACTGTTATAATCATCTTTATTTATCACAGTGTCTACCTGAAACATATAGATTACATTTTGGATTCCATTTTGGATTCCATTTTAGCTGCCATTTTGAATTGCAGCCTTGTTGGATTTTCGAAATTTATCTCTAAAATCAGAGACATCGAAAACCATATTTAAAAAAAACGTAGTAAAAGTCATATCTTGCAAGATTCTCGCTGGTTATGTGGGGAAAATGCCATTTTATTATCAAATTTCGAAGCAATTTTGAAAGAAATGGGCAGCACCATGTGGAAAATACATTTTTGAATTTTTCTATTCTCAAATCCGTTTTTTCGGCACATTTCGCCTCCATAATCACTCTGTGTTTGAAGAATTTAAAAAAAATATTCATTGTCCCACCACTAAAACGTCCGGAAGACCATCATATTGAATTAGGTTAATTACGCCGAATTTGAGTATGATGTATCATTGAACCAAACTGCATTGGTTTCTTTTGCAATTTGTTTGGGGTAAAATGTTATCCCTCCGCAACTATATACCGTTACAAAACACACGAACAAACGTTCTCTGTATGCGGTGATATCGCTAGATTTGTTGTATTCTTCCTGGCTGTTGTGGGCGACGGCGAACCAAGCAGCGTAGGATTAGAATCAGTGATGGGATTTTGCCCGTATATTCCGGACTTGTCCGAATCTTTTTTCCAAACGCCCAAAATTGTCCGACCGGGAATATGCCCAATCGGACATCAAGACATGGTGAATAATATTCAAAATTCCGAAATTACTGAGTGTATAACTACCCCTCAACCCGATTATCGTCGATAATACGCTGGATTTATTAGGTAATTAAGTGATCAACGTAGTTATCGTGTTATACTGTCTGTCTATAAACCTACCTTGATTAACTACTTAATCTGCCTTGATTGACTGACTTAATCCTTTGTCGGACAATTCATCAATCTAATCTTAAACAGAAGTCATTGCTTTCCCTTTGTCGGACTATTCATCAATCCAATAAGAGTGATTATAATTTTAATCCACCTGTTTACCTCGTGGTTTCTCAATTGTCGAGCATTTGAATCATATTGATGTGAGCCGACAGCATCTATAAACTAATCATAGAAGTCACATATCCTAAGAGTATATAACACCCTAAATCAATGGACAGTCATTTTGTCTACGATATCTTTTACGTCTTTTAAGACTCCATATAGAAATTCTCATCCACAGTGGCACTTTCCCGTGATCTTGAGCGCCGCACGAAAATCGCTTATGATGAAGCTATGTGCCGTGAGTCACGTACGCCAAACGCTGCAGGAAGTTACGTCATTTTACAAGTAGGTACAGATCGGCAAGCTTTCATTCTATCATATTACGAAAACATGAAATTTTATAGAAATATCACTGACATAAATTTGAATACCACAATTAAATATTAAAAATAGCGAGGTGTTCCCATTTTTATTACGCACAGATTTGAATATTTTTGTGACAGTTTATAAAGAAGAAAATGATTCTTATTCCGGAAGTTCTACATTCATTTGCTGCCGATAAACGAAGACACGTAATTTTACAGGAATATTAGGCTTACTGTTGTGAATTTGATGCCGAAGCAGTGGACAGTCATTTTATTTGCCATATCTTTTACGTCTTTTAAGACTCCATATAGAAATTCTCATCCACAGTGGAACTTTGCCGCGATCTCGATTTATGTCTTTTTACAAGTAGGTACGGATCGGCAAGCTTTCATTCTATCCTATTACGAAAACACGTATTTTTATAGGAATATCACTGACATAAATTTGAATACCGTACGGGAATTAAATATGAAAAATAACGATTTTCACCTATTTTTATTAAGAGTTGAATATTTTGTTGACCCATGATTTTTAATTGTGGTATGAATACGTCAGCTTAAATAACGATAAGAGTTATGCCCTTTTATTTTCGGTAAAATGTCCGATAGGAAAAATTTTGAAATCCCATCACTGATTAGAATGCTGTGATATATGCGTGAACCCTAGGCATCTGATCACAAACTTTTAAATTCGACTGTTCTTAAAAAAAACCTTAAATATCCACGTTGACCTGACCTTAAACCTGTGCAAAGTCAATTTGCAAAATACTTATAAAATACTTAACTTACCAGTAAATCCAAGTGAACATATACACCTATACATATCGACGGCATCAATACAAAAACCACCATGTCTACATGGCGACGAGTCACATTCATTAATATTTATTTCACAATATAAACCAGTAAAACCCGGTAAACATTTACATGTGAAGTTACCAATACCATCTAAACACGAACCGCCATGTTCACATGGTAAACTTTGACATTCATCGTAATTTAATTCACAGTTTTTACCTAGAACAAAAATAAATGTAGTAGAAATTAAAAAGGCATCGGGACAGAAGACCAATAAACTTGTTCTGTATTCAAATTTAACAAAAACAAGGACAGAAATTGTTTATGACCAGTTTAGACTGCCAGATCTTAATCATTATTGGGCCAACATGCCTTTTTTAAAAGCAAGATGTTATTCGTAACCACAGTAGGATTAGGGCTAGGGTGGGTTTAGAGTAATCCCGTATCATAAATGTTGTATCTACGGGGTAATGGGTTAGGGTTAGGGTTAGCATTTGCAAATTTTTATTCGTAGACACCTTAGTTACGAGTAAACTTTTATCGGTAAACACTGTTGTTTGGAGGTAATCTTTATTTGTAATGGTAAATGCTGTTCTTGGGAGATAATCTTTATTTGTACCGGTAAACACCGTGGTTATTCGTAAACACTGTGTATACGATGTAATTTTTAAAAAGAAAAACAAGTGTTTACGAATAACCCTGTCCTTTGATTTAATAAAACAATCTTTAATTGTGTTTGATTTGAAAGTCAGTTTTTGCGTTTTTCTGGACTACTGGACCTTTAAAGGAATTATCCAAATCCCTAAAAAGACAAGTGACGTAATCAACTGTATATTTTTATGCGACAAGAAATAGGCAAGCTTTATGGGTCATATGGGTACTTTAGTAAAGCTTCCCAAGTATTTAAACCAAATCTTGAAAGCTATGTGGGCTATATGTGTAAGTGGGTGCTTTAGTAAAGCGTCACAGGTATTTAAACCAAATTTTGAAAGCTATGGGGGCTATATGTGTAAGTGGGTGATTTAGTAAAGCGTCCCAGGTATTTAAACCAAATTTTGTAACCTATGTGGGCCATATGGGGGTATATGGGTATTCTAATAAACCTTCTCGGGTATTTAAACCAGATGTTGTAACCTATGTGGGCCATTTGTGTTTATCGGTGCTTTAGTTTTTCTTCTTTTATTAGTGTTTAACTTTTAACGTCCGCCACCACCGAGGTTGATATCGCAGACCAGTTGCCTTATTTTTATTATCTTAGCGCGCGCAGGGGTCTTCCCTGTGGGAGGAAACCGAAGTAACCGCAGTAAACCCGCGAGGTCGAGAAGGGGCCCCTATCTCCAAGCCACGTACCTTCACACCAGGGATCGAAACCACGACTGCAAATCTGAGGTCAGCTAAAGCTTGAAGCACGACTCTCTAGACCACTAGCACCTCACTACCACCACCCAAACCCCTTCCCTCCCGTCCGGTGCTTTAGTAATGCTTCCCGGCTAGTTAAACCAAAAACTCTCAAACAGTTGGGTCAAAAATTGATTAGTACTTAATTGGTTTACCTGAAGTACCGACTGGACAATAACATTTATAGCCTGCTACGTCATCTTTACATGTACCTTGATGTAAACAAGGTGATGATTGACACTCATCTATATCTGTTTCACAATTAAGCCCCGCCCATCCTTCATTACACTGACATTTATAAGTGTTGATAAGATCAATACAGGTACCATTATTCTTACATAAATTACTATTACAATCATCTATATTTATCTCACAATTTCTACCTGAAATACATAAATTACTGTTATAATCATCTATATTTTTATCTCACAGTGTCTACATGAAACATAGATTACTGTTATAATCACAGTGTCTACCTGAAACACATAGATTGCGGTTATAATCATCTATATTTATTTCACAGTGTCTACATAGATTACTGTTATAATCATCTATATTAATCACAGTGTCTACCTGAAACACATAGATTACTGTTATAATCATCTATATTCATCTCACGATGTCTACCTGAATAAGATAGATTACAATTACACATGCAACCAAATAAATTATCTCACAATGTCTACCTGAAATAACACATAATGACAATCATATTTTGATAGATCAGAACAAACATGGTTATATCTTTGAGTTTGCGACCTGTCGCCGTTTAAATCTTACATAACAGTTTATTAATTTTGCGCTAACCGTATTCGGATGTGGTCACTGTACAGTAAATATCAATCATTTAAAGCTCTCCGACATTTTAAGGTTTCAGCAATCACACACTGCCCAGTCCCCAACCCCGCAACACACATTATTTTCAAGAAGATACCTGTACTTATTTTATTTACCTGTCCAGCCATCGTCACACACACAAAAATAGTTATTTAACACATCTTCACAGATCGCATTGTTTAAACATGGCAATGATTGACATTCATCAATATCTGTTTGACAGTTGATACCTGCCCAGCCATCATGACATTTGCATGTATAACTGTCAATTCCATCAATACATTCACCATTATTATTACACGATTTATCTTCACAATCATCTACATTTACTTCACATCGTGCACCTGAAATTATACATCAGTAATTTTTGTATTTTAACTAAAACGTCTGAACTGCCACCACGAATGCATATCCAAAGTTACACAACGTTTATAGGCGTCTCGAAATGAAATGTTAATCGGTTATACCTTGAACTATGGAACGTCATTTTTGACCTGGATTTCGGCTAATCATTGAATTAGTTTATCTCTAGTTTGGATTCCATTTTCTTTGAAATGTCAACACAAAAATGTCACTGCTTTTATTACAACAGAAGTGGAAACCACACCTGAAGCCGATAGTTGGATTGGTTGGCAGTTAGACATAAAATTTATCAACTGATCCAGCAGAGTTGCGCATAGAATTTTAACTTTGAGACATACAACATGGTTGTAAAGTGTAAAATAGTATAATTAATTAAATGTACTAATAATTAACTAAGCCATGCAAAACTAACTGAAGTCTGTCTACAGTTAACTGGTTGGTATTTTAATTCCAACATTGACGCTTTTAGTCGAGGCTATACTTCTGGAATATTGAGAAATATTTATTCTGGTTTCATTTAATGACATTGAAATTATAGTATATTCAGTCTCTGTGTGTATGAAAGATGTAAAATGGATTAGAATTTTTGAATATGGCGGTAGAGATCTATTCTCAGAGTAGATAGTCCTCTGTGCGCAGATAATATGACTAAGCTTCATCTGAGTTTTACTCCTATCCTTGACCTACCTTCAAATCCACTTTTACATAAACATGAATATTCACGATGGCCGTCTTTACATTTTCCTCCATTTTGACACGGTGACCATTGACAATCGTTAATACTCTGTTTACAACCACTAATAATGTTCGTCCATCCTACAAGATTAAAATGATACATAATATCATAACAAATATCTACAAAACACAAAACCCATAATCACAAATGTACATTTTTAAATATTTGTTCCCACCACCATGGCTTTAGCAGTGGCAGAAATATACGTTTACCAGCATCTTTGTACAAGGAAGCAAGAGTGTTACAGACAGTATTTATTGAGCAGTAACTCTGGTCAAAAACAATATCTTTTTATAGTTTTCACCAGGTGTTCGTGTCAATTGCTGTGATTCGACATCAAATTTCAACTAGGTTCTCCATATGACAATGCCAAAACTTTTGACAAAAAAGGTTCTGATCTTTAGATTACAAGGTTGCAGTGACAGGAGCAATGACTCCGCATGGAAATGATCCTGAATTTCAATAGCTTTCCTTTTTAAGGGGGAGATAGAGAAATGGGGTTTAACGTTCACTCACCACAAACTAGGTAATTTCGGGACTAACATACGGTTCAGTTTTATTTCAATAATTTGCTAGGGGTCATAAGCAGTGGGAAGAAACCGGAGGACCCGGTGAAACCCACGAGGTTGGACTCACGTACAAGCGGTGAACTGAAACCACGCAACTTGACTCAATGGAAGACCTTGTGATCAAACGCGCACGCGTTAACCATTCGGCCACCCAACCAACTTTTTCCGCTTTAAGACAAGCCGAAAAATCGATAAAAGCTGTAATTGGTAATCATTAAGTCATATATGAGAACGATTATTTGTTTGGGTTTTTTAATGAGCAAAGTTGTTGGTTATGGTGCTCGCTGGGTTGAACAGAACTTCAGGTCATAATAATAACCATCTCCACAAACTACATTATTGTGTCCAAATTCTAGGTACCAACCAGATGTTGTGTTCTTCTTAGAAGCCATCGTATCACACTTTTCGGCATCAAAATAAACCAATTCGATTTTTCATTTAACAATTGGCCAACGTAGCTTCCCCACCGCAAGTGTCCGCACCACAAGTGTCCGCACCACCTGAGTAACAATTTCAAAATACTGTACATTCTTTCACGTCTTTCTTTTTAAACCATATTATTATAGTTATCACGACTCACCTGGTAGACATATTTTAGCCCCTGTTGTTTTATCGCATGTGTAATGTCCCCAATAGCTATCTGCACCAACACAATATACGTTACAGGATGAACCATAATACCCTGCACTACATTCACTTGATACCATAGCCGTTAACCTGAAATAATTCATAACATTATACATTCACTTCATACCATAGCCGTTAACATGAAATAATTCATAACATTATACATTCAATTGATACCATAGCCGTTAACCTGAAATCATTCATAACATTATACATTCAATTGATACCACAGCCGTTAACCTGAAATCATTCATAGCATTATACATTCAATTGATACCATAGCCGTTAACCTGAAATTATTCATAACATTATACATTCACTTCATACCATAGCCGTTGACCTGAAATCATTCATAGCATTATACATTCAATTGATACCACAGCCGTTAATTATTCATAACATTATACATTCACTTCATACCACAGTCGTTAACCTGAAATCAAATTGCTAAACCATACAAGACAAAAAGAACAAGAATAATGTAAGCCTAATCTAAATTGCACACGATATCTGTCAGTACGTTTGGGTGGATTTCAGGAGTTGAAGCTACTTAACTGAAGGTAACTTATAAATTAATATCCCACAGCAGAGTTACTACTAACTGCAGAAGAATTTGCTTGCTAATCATATGACAACATTAAGAAATGTTCTAAAATCGCGACAATCTTCTGTGTCGCAGAATAAAACAAGAATTGAAAATTCATAACATAATGATCGTGATATATTTATTAAAACATTCATAAATAAAAAATAAACTTACGTTACTCTATTCGACATAACTAAGCGTTTAGATGTCCCAGGTGATATATACAGTAGAGACTGGAGAAAAATAACAAAATCATGCGCACTATTATCATCAACATCCCAAACACCAACTTTTATCTTCAATTTCGACTGAAAAACCAAGGTGGATTAATAAAGGGTGGGGGAGAACTCTGTAGTTTTTGGTTTCGAAAGATAAAGCGAAAGTCGGCTTTATTTTAAAACTAATTTTAGTTGATTTTGTTTGTTTTTCTTTACACCAGATTCATGGATGATTGACATAATATATCTTCCATGTACACACCTACTTACCGGTAATGAATTTACTCTGAAAACCATAGGATTGGCTGTGTTGGCGATTTTACTTCCGAAATTAATATTATTCTGATTCGACACTTCTCCAGTAGCTATTTTACCATAGACACAACTATTTATATTCGTATTCCTACAAAGTAACAAAACACATTATCGTCTATATTTATGATGACCACAAGGTCATGAAGTCTAGGCTAGAAAGTCCCAGGGTGGGCGCAGGATAGCCTTCTTCGTATCGGGCATTGCGCCAGACGGACTGGCCTGTGACACTATACAGTTGGGGCAAAATCCTCTACCCTCATAATCATAATTTTATTTAAAGCCCTTTAGACACCCTCCAGGTAAGTTTTGAGACTAATAAATGGTATATTTTTGTATTTTAATAATTTGCGCACTGTGGGATTTATATTTGGGAGAAAGTCGCACTTGGTTATAGGCAGTGATATGACTTGTCTAGTAAAAAACACTAAGCTAGTTGACAGCCATTTTATTTCCTATACATTTGAAAACACTTAGTATCCTTCGAGAATTTTGAGTACTTGTTCTACTTTAATAAAATTGAAAAGGGTGTATTAAGTAAATCTTTGTGCTTTTGACAGGTGGGAAACTGAGTAGAACCGCATTACAAAATACTATACCAATTTTGGGGTATGGCGGCCATTCCTGACAGAGGTATTTTCTCGAAATAGATAGTTATCTGTGCGCAGAATGATACGGACCACGCGTTAGACTACTTCACTCGACGTAACACCAACCAACCCCCAATTAACAACCAGGGGCCTGTTTCACTAAATTTTTAGTAAAGATAAAATCCATACTTTAGTAGAAACTTCAATTTTGATTGGCTAAGTACTAAAATCAATCTAATATTATCCAATCAAATTACTAAAATATGGATTTTATCTTAGTTAAAATTTCGAGAAACAGGCCCCCGGCCATTGACAGAGGCGGATTCAATGGGGGGCGCGAGGGGCGTGCGCCCTCCCCCCCTAATTTTCGACAGTGCCCTTTTTTACTGCTGAAAGTGCCTTTTCTCAGTCTCAAATATGTCCGTTCCGAACCCGTTGTATGGATCCCAAATGACTCAAACCATCGACTCAAACACACCAGTCTGGGAAATAGCTCTTGGAACAGCTACAGATGCAAGGAAATGACGGATAATTTTCTTGGGGACCCCCCCCCCCCCTCAGCGGCGTGCCCCGTCTCCGCGGTCAATGCCTTCATTTTGCAGCGCCCCCCCCCCTTTTCAAAATTCCCAGATCCGCCCCTGATTTAGTTAAATCATGATGATGATTTGTTGGCTGTGAACGATCAATAGTTATAATCATCACTGGTCATGATTAGAAATGTTTTATTTTTATACTGTACCCATTACTTCTGTCCAGACAAACGGTGAAACGATGATCACACGCTGATCCACAAAATATCCATCTACCATCACAACAGTGTCCATTATGACCTTTACCCCCGGGATTGCGAAACGTCTGTAACTGAACTTTGATCAAACCACTAGAAGACACAGGCTGCAAAAAGAGTTTAAAACACAAATATAATCATGCATATCATATGTTCTCAATGCAACATAACGTAAAATTTCAAATTATTCCTTTACAGTCGATTTATAAATATAACAAATCATCTTAATAATTAAAGAGGACCGAATTTAAGCTGAAACTTTAGAAAATTGGGAACGCAGAAAAGAATAACAAAACAACAAAAAGCGTAATTGTGTAGTTATGCCCTCGTTCTCTTTCTATTTGTCCAATTAAATGGAGGCCAATGCATAAGTCGTCTTTACAAGCTTAATGACCGATCTCCAATCCTTTTATTTTTTTTATCCCTGCGATCTTTGCCCTTCTTTAGTATACACCCACCCTTCATCCCCACCCCCTCGCAACAATTTGACACCACAAAAAGTCGATCTGCCATAATTGTTTTCAATATTTAAACATGCATTATGTAAGAGCTAAATCTGCCTATTGTGGGCCTTTCTTTCGGCCTGGAATTTTATCTAAATCATTAATTAGACATTAATTAACTTATCCAGATAATAATCATCTCTCGATGCCATCGTTAGCCTACGATATTTAGTGGGCTTGAATACATTTTAAGATGGATAATTTAATGTAAAAATAGATAATCAAACCTTTGTTTATTATCATACCAACGTTAGTAATGACGATCGAGGCTAGCTTAAAATTGAATCGCTAATATCTCGGTTCAGGGTGAAGCAATTTGACTGACATATCCAGAATATTCATTTTTCATTATATATTTTTAACTATTGTAGCGAGAACTGTCAGTCCTTTATCTAATCTTACCTAATGCCTCTTTAGGGTATAACTGCTTTTGACTGTTTAACGGTCAATTGTCAGATATAACACGATGCACTGACAGGGATATGTTTAACACTTTCCAATGTGGTATTTCTCTCGTGTGGAGAGATCACTTTCTGTCGTTACTCGCTTTTTCCGAACTCGTTCGGGTCCATCTGGACTACTGAAAACGACACATACCACACAGTGTGTTATGAGGAACATTTTTCCCGGACAGAGGAGCTACGATTTACTCTTTATCGAGTTCCAACTGCCAAGGATTATTTTACGTGCACGCCATTTTCCTCGTTAATTGAACTTTGTGTTGATTCCAAAAAAGGCTTGTACGCTCGTAAGACTGAGAAACAATAAGCTTTCTGTGTTAATTTGTTTTAATTGCCGTCTTGTATTGGATGTATAAATGAAAACTAACGCTTCAATTTTATTCAAACTTAATTTAGTAAGCCAACTTGGAGCCATGGTGGCTAAGTGAGTAAGACGCTGGCTAGCCAGCCTGGAGCTTCATCGGGATTTTCCGGTGTGGTTTCCCCTTGTCAGTGACAGAGGGCCTGACAAGGAAACCTGTCTAGTCGTTCGGATAGGACGAGAAACCGAGGTCCCGTGTACACGTAAAGGATCCCTTGGCTGTTGGAATTTGATATAAGAGCAGGCCGTAACGCCTCTACCCGGACAAAATTTCCCTCATAGCACACTGTATTATGTATGCCCGTTCATTATCCCAGTCGGAGCAGAACAGTAAGACGTTAAACCCCATATCATTTTCATTTCACTTAGTAAGCCAACTTATCAGAGAAATTGATATTTGGGGCGCACCTTGTTGGTTGTTATCTTGTTACAATATAACCCTATTTATATTACTTGTAGCTCTAGTTTTCCATAGGCCAGTGATGTAGCTACCCTATAACCACCTCCACCGCGGCACCTTTTTTCAAAATTAGGTCTTTCCAATAATTTTTTAACTCTTTGGTTCTTTTTTATCGCATTTCCTTAGAAGAGTTTTCTAGAAACTTGTGATTTTATTTGATATAACCACTTTGCTTTTTGATTTCAGAACAAACAAAAAAATAATAAATTTAAAATTTTTGATTTCAGAACAAACAAAAAAATAATAAATTTAAAATTATTTGGTACATGTGATTGCCCTCGCCCCCTACTTTATCAGAGTTAATGATATCGTTTCCCCTTTTCTAGGAACAACATAACATATAAATGAATTCAGCTATTGTGTAAATTAATTTTGTCAAGAGGTCTCGAAAGGCCGGAAAGTTTCTCATCAAGATTTAAAGTGTAAGTGTTTGATGTTTTATCTATAAATTACGAGATTCGGAGAAAATCCTGATATCTAAAAAGAGGTCAGTATATAGGGGAAAGGAATTACTCTGTACTGATCATGATAAATTTTAAAACTTCCTATGTATACGAGTATAAGTAAATAAATAATCAGTAACCGATTCAAATAATTATGTAATTTTGATTAACATCATATGCCTGATGGGTGCATCTCTTATTTTACCCATGGTTGAAAAGATAATGGTTTTGGGGAGGGGGGGGGGATGAAAGTAGGGTAAGTTGCTGGTTTCTATGGAGAAAAACAAAAGATACACATCTGCTTATCTTTTAAGAAGATTAGCAGAAACATCAGAATTAGTTTCAAAAGAAATTTTTTTTTTTTTTTTTTAAATATAATTTTATTTTTAAAAAAACGTCATATACAATTTACATTTATTTCAACACATTAGAAATAAGCAAATATATATATATATATATATATTTTATTTGTAGCATCAGCATGATTTCTAATAATTTCTAATGTTATATACAAGAAAGTCGGTTTATATTATATATTTGAAAAAGTAAGTAAGTCAATATACGACAGGGATATTATTTAAATATACTTGTATTCCTTTTCTTCAGACGTAAAATAAGAAATGCCTTTTAAAACCTTTTAAAATCCCTGGTTTACTATAGTCCTTTTATAAATTTGGTCTTTAACTTTTCACCCCCGTCTAGTTATGTTATCTCCCTTGCTTGGGATGAGGGAATTTACATATTTAGGAAGGTACTTAAAAAAAAACCCAAAAAACAGGTTGCTATACTCCTTTCCACGAAAAAAAGTCGAAAGAGAGAGGAGATAAATAGCTACCTTAAGAATTAAAATGCATGGTACATCTAAGGTTTTATAAGGTTCTATGTTCACATAATTGTATAATTCTAATTGAATGATAAGGGTATGCGACCAGTCTAGTTCTACAATAATGTGTTGCTTTCTACGTATTTCCATTTATTTAGGGTGTAGATATTTGATTTATAAACTTCCAATTCTAATGAGATTTTACTCATTAGAAAAGCATTATATCGGGATAGTGATGGCTTAACGTTTTCTAATTTAGATCTATATATATAGTATTTGGTTAAGAATATTAGATGGTTTGTAAAGTCCCATTCACATAAATTATTGAAACTTGTTTTTTCTGGATACCCGAAATGGATATTTTTATTTGTTAATGTTATATTTATGTTACTTTTAAGGGTAATTTCTAGCATTTCGCTCCAGATTTGTTGGGCATAACTGCAGCAAATGCATAAGTGGTTTACTGTCTCAATATCGGATTGACAGAAGGTGCAGAGAGTGGATTCGGTTAACTTTAATTTACATAGAAATGCGTTTGTATATATTATTTTATGAATATATTTGAATTGGAAGTTTTGAAGTTTGCTGTCTATACTTATATTATGTGCAAGAAGATCTCTTTCATTATATCTCTTTCATTTATTTTGATTTCTAATTCCTGTTCCCATTTGCCTATAGCCAATGGCTTTTCATGTAGCAGTGATCGATGTTAAGTCATGCTTATATACCAAGATATTAGGTTAGTGTTTATTTCTTCTAAATAAGTAATACTTTTACAATTCTGTGTTTCGTTGTGTGGGGTAGTTTTCAGAAATCTTTTGACAGGTAACGATGTCCTTTTTATATAATTTCTACAATATTCGTCAGATACCCGTTCATTTAAATTATTTTCAATAAAATACATATACAATGTATTTTTATTTTTAGATTTATTTCTAAAAATATTATTATCTAGTTCTATACATCTATTATTCCAGAAAATTTGATTTTTCGGGTGTATCAAAATATCAACATGTTTAGTATATATAGCGTACCAATTTTGAAATAATTCTTGATAAAAGGGAGATATGTTTTTAAGTTTAGAGTCGTAGTTGCAAGCTGGTAGTAAATCGCCATCATACGTGTCAAGAATAAAATTATATGTTGTTTTCCAAGTCTGTGTTGCATTAGTATAAATTTTCTTTATCCAAAAGATACTGCGAGCTATCATCATTTCATTCAAATTTATCATATTTAATCCCCCCATATTCTTCATTTGACTAATTACATTTCGTTTAAGTTTATCTGGCCCATTCCATAAAAACGCAAATATCTTAATATTAAATCTTTTTATAACATACTCTGGCATTGTTAAAGCTGACGATGGATACAATATTTTTGATATACAGAAAGTTTTAATTATTTGAATCTTGCCGATTAATATAAATTTTCTCTTTCTCCATGTATTAAATATATTTTGGAATTTCTGGAATGGTCTTCCAGTGAATATTGGAGTTTACTTTAAAATCACTGAAAAATCTGGTGTTGAAGTTCAACTAATATACACAATCTTATAAACCCACAAGAAATCCGCTATCCTGTACTGACACATCATTACTTATACAACGCCCGTAGTTTATCATCATATCGTAACCGGCCACTTTATGTACAGGCATCGTTGTGAATAAATTACCAATTCAAATTTTAAAACTAAACTAAAGACATGTTCATTTAAAAAGGCTTTTACACAGTGATCTTTTGTATAGATTATCCGGAGCTAGTTTAATTTCTAATTACATATAATTTTATCTACTTTTTCTTCTATTAGTGTTTAACGTCCGCTTCCACCGATGGTCGTACTAGCTTAACGGCGACCCGCGACTTTCACAACACGAGAGTCGCCGTTAAGCCACGCTTTTCGTCGCTCTGGCTTAACGGCGACTCTCGCCTCGGAAGTTTATAGTTAGTCACATGCGCAATGGCTACATTTTACTTCTTGTATATAAAATCAGAATGGAGGAGATTTTGGATGAGTTTGGGCTGTCGAGCTATATATATATCAACATTTTCAGTGACACTAGGGCAAATTAAAATTTATGAGTGTTACAGACACGTGTACTTTCAAAACCTGTTTAGTTACACTGGATTTAGATTTAAAATGTACAAGTCTTTATATCATTAAATATTTTCCCATTGATTTAATGTTCATTCTCGTATCTTAGACCGGCTCTAACTTTTCCCAAAATTTTCGTTGGGTAGAACGCTTTCTGCCACAGATGGAGCAACATTTGGCAAACTCTTGCGGTGACTCTCGCGTTGTTTCTAGAAACCCGCCGATCTAAATTGATGCTTTCAGCCACCATACTTTCCGCTCTTGTGAATAATCCTTGCAAATGTGTTACACATCTTGACTTCTAGATCACATTACAGGGAAACAGGCGTATTTTTATCTAACAACATGACATTGTTATTAAATGTCATATATGATAAATAGAGTTCTCTTCAAACTAGACATCGAAAATTTACTACACGGTTTAAACAATGGAACACAATACTTCGGCAGTTTGTATTTCAGTGATTACGTGTGGTGTGGTAATTTTTACCTGACATTGGTGTTATATTAACGTTTTACGCTCTATCCCAGGCAAAATTCTCCACATTCGCTTTCTACACTTACGTTACCTACATTTTATTATAAGAGTAAAATATTATCCTAAAAATTGTTAGGCTCCACACGATTCAACGTAACTTCAAAACCTATTATCGTCATCAGTTATATATAACGATTCACTAAATTATAAGATATCCTATGTTTGTTGTCCAAGACAATTGTTTCGATTTTAGAGAATGTGGACAAAACAAGTTCAAAGGCATGCATTAAATAGTAAATCTAACATAATTTAATTATAACATATAGATAAAATGTGTAAAAACCTAAAATTGGTAATAAGAACAAGGTGATGCTCTGTTAAAGGCTCAATACCACTCCTGTTGTAACTGAATAATATGTCCCAATCTTTATTCTGGTCAACAAATTGTACTATTTTACAATATTCCAATTAATTGATGATACAAATTTCATCTTAACACACCTAATTTTTAAAATTGGAAAAATTCAACTAAATGATTTGAAAAGCCTGACGTAAAGCTTTTCAAATGTGACTTGGATTTAAAAATATTTTTGAACCCTTTGGACAAGTAAAATAAGATTTAATGGATAATTTACACAACAGGTAGGACACTAACACATCAAGTACTTAGAATAAGGCTATTTGTTATTTTCTGGAGCTGTCAAGCCAGCAAGAGTGTTACTGTCCCTTTAACAAGTTAATATCATGAATTGACTAGAAAATCTAACATAATTCTATTATTAAATATAGAAAAAAATCTTTACAAGAGTGTTATATAAAACCATATAAGAACATGGTAATGCTCTGTTAACAAGTTAAATGTCGTGAATTGACTAGAAAATCTAACATAGTTCTATTATAAAATACAAAAAAAAGAAATTACCGTAATAAATGCGCAATATAAAGCTAAGAGTGTTATATAAAACCATATTGGCAATAAGAACATGGTAATCCTCTGTTAACAAGTTAAATGTCGTGAATTGACTAGAAAATTTAACATATTTCTGTTATAAAATATAGAAAAAAATCTTACCGTAAGAAGTGTGCAATATAAAGCTAAGAGTGTTATATAAAACCATATTGGTAATAAGAACATTGTGATGCTCTGTTAACTCTCCAACTTATCACAGTTTAAGTGACAAAAATCCGGTATTACGCATCTCTTGTCTATAGCGCCAAATTAATTACTGCAGAAACGTCCGGAGCTTAATTCACGGGGTCACTACTCCAATAACTGTCATTGTTTATTTTACATACTGGTAAATATATAGACAACCTACATTGTTAGTAGACTTCACGAATGGTCATTAAATTTGTTAATTATGCTATTTAGATAAATTCGCCAATGAGTTTTTAACCCAATTATAATTTACTGCATCACATATCATTCTTTGCGATGTTTCATCTTTCAGATCACTCTTATCTGAATTGTACGGTCTCTAAAATTACAGGTTAAATTTAAACAGATTATTGTTTACAGCGCTTGCAATGGTGTATCTGGTTTGGGGTGGTGGGGGTGTATGTAAAGAGCAATATCTTCCATCCCCTTACAAATGGATTTTTTCTATTATTAGATCCCTAAACAACAACACCGGTGACTTCCTTCAAACCTGACTTATTCATATACCAACAGTATAGCGTTTGTGGTTTAGAATTGTCCAAAATAAATTATTTTGAGTTTTAGGCCCCGTAGCTATAAGTTGTGGTGGTTGTCTTAAACGCCACAGTAACATGTATGTGTTTATTGTGTTTTCGGAATACCTGTCACATTTTCTCTGCATTTTTAAAAGCCCCTGTCATTCATATATGGTGTACTGTGTGGTGTTGTGTTGTACTATCTATTTAATAGAAGATCTTCCTCAGCCTTGTGCAAAATTTTGGCCAAGCACCCAATAACCCATATCCACCCTGTCTATAATCACGAATAATCGTGCTACCGGTGTGACCCAATATCACGCGGGGGTACATTATGGAATGTTATGGTTCGAATCCCGATGAGGGTCAAGAAAACATTCGACATGTTCAAGTCGGGATCTAACTCGTCGAGAGTGGAGTCTGTGGGACTGTTTACCGGATGTGATGAACAGAGATCCTGTGTATATATCGGTAATGACCACAGAAATCCCTCAGAAGTTGGAATTCGAATAAGAGTAGTCTGGAAAGACGCTTTCTGGGCAAAAGTCTTCCTCTCGCAAATGACCCGAATGTCGATGAAACGTTAAAGATGGGTTCCCAGAAAAGTATTTATCGGGTGGTAATTTCCAATAAAAGTATGGTAGTTTTGGCATATATGGCAAGTAGAAATGAAATGAAATGAAATGGGGTTTAACTTTCTACTGTGCTGCTCCTATGCTGGGCATACGCCATACAGTGTGCTATGAGGGAAATTTTGCCCGTGCAGCGGCACTATCGCCTACTCTTATATCGAATTCCTACTGCCAAGGGATCTTTTACGTGCATTCCAATGTATAGACGGGACCTCGGTTTTCCGTCTGAAACGAAGGACTAGACAGCTGTCCTTGTCAGGCCCTCTTGTCCTGCATCACTGACAAGGGGGAACCACGCCGGAAAATATGGATATACTTTCTCGGCCAATGCAGGGATCGAACACCCGACCTCCAGGCTAGCGAGCCAGCGTCTTACCCACTTAGCCACGTGATCCCCATGGCAAGTAGATATATTATTATTATTATTATTATTGTTCGATTTATATAGCGCTTCATTACACGTGAAGTGTTTCTAAGCGCATATCACAAACATATACTTCAAACACAGAAACAATCAAAATCATGAGAATATATTTAAACACAGCTGCCTGTTAGGCGCTATTATTCAAAGGTTTATATCTAACAAATCAACCGGCTAATCTCTATATTGAACCCAGTCGAGGTATTACCTGATGAACACCTACACCAAGTAGAGTTCAAAAATAAAAAACGAAGTTTAAAAGAATCAACTTCATTAACAAAAATTAAACAATCAAAAACTAAAAAGATAAATCAAATTCAAACGAAACAAATAAAACAAAGAAAATGAAAAGAGCAGTTCATTACCATTCTACATTATCAAAATAAAGGAAATCAACTTGTGAAAATTTTTTCAAAAAATAAGGGCAAAGTAACACTAATGTTAAAACTTTTTTAACGAACATATCTATGATCGCCTATCGTTATCATTCAGGATTTAACAAAATTTCTTTAAAAACCTAAATAAAATGAAATGAAAATGAAAATCAAAATCAAAATCAAAATCAAAAGTAAATTAAAAGCAAAAGTTCAACCAAAAGCAAAAGTTAAATCAAAACTAAAAATTAAATCAAAAGCAAAAATCAAAATAAAAGTAAAACCAAAATGTAAATTAAAATCAAAACACAAATGAAAACTTAAATCATTTTTAAAAGTAATTTGAAATGTAAAGCAAAAGTTTAACCAAAAGCAAAAGTTAAATCAAAACTAAAAATTAAATCAAAAGCAAAAATAAAAGTAAAACCAAAATGTAAATTAAAATCAATATAATATCCAACCGTAAACATTACTAATCAAACCTTTTGTTTTAACAATCTCTTCAACCATCAAGCATCATTGCCCCGATCAGTGTTACAGAATTTGTGCTTTATATGTCTACATAATATTAATTATATTACCCGTATCTATTTTATGCGCGCATGTTGTTTTTTTGTCCTGTTTTTATTTTCTATATTATGTATACTGTATGTATGGTTTGTATTGTCTGTCTGTAAATTGATGTCCGTGTATAACTTTTTCATCTTTACATATTGTATATGGCCGCCCTAAAAGGGCGTTCCAATGCAATCAAATTCTATTTTGTTCTTTTCTATTCTATATACACATTTACACATTCGTTAGTGTAATGGTAGACGTTACTGATTAAGCGTTGCACATCCCCCTACACTACCACCGCCTTAAGATTGGTGGCCCTCGAGACGTAGCTATACCCAAGGCCAGGTTGTCGCTATCAGTTTTTTCGGAGAGAAGAAATGAAATGAAATGAAATGGGGTTTAACGTCCTACTGTTCTGCTCCTAAACTGGGCTAATAAAGACGGACATATGCCATACAGTGTGCTATGAGGGAAATTTTGCCCGGACAGCGGCGCTACCGCCTACTCTTATATCGAATTCCAACTGCCAAGGGATCTTTTACGTGCACGCCAATATGTACACGGGACCTCGGTTTTTCGTCGGAGAGAAGAAGCACTCCGACGCTCACGTTGGGCAAACATTGTGACAAGATACCGCGTCAAAAACGGAACCCGCTAATCCAGGCAGCTGAAAGTTTGACGTCATATTCAAAATGGATGCCTCCGTGTCTTGCCATTTTGGCGAGACAAACTTCGATTTAAAGTAGCTAAGTCTCTAACTCAATATCATCCAAAACCTTCGACATTGAAAACACGAATCATTTTTCAATTGTAATCAACATTGGTGTTGTGATCTTACCGGGGAAAGATGGGCTTCTGATATCCAATATTTAAGACAAAATAAACATTTTACGATTGGTAAACGAATAGTGTACCATAATGCGTTTCAGTGCAATTTGTAACAAGCGACTCGAAGAACGGGGTTAGACATATTCCACAAGTCATGTCAAACGTAGACCCCATATTCTTATCTGGAGAGCATGCGCAATAAATACTATAGGTGTAGACTGGAATAACCAGACGCTAGAGACTGCCATTAGATTGAGACTTCTGGCGTATTTCACCGAACATAACTGCTTTGAAATCAGTTTATTTACATTCATATTACATTATTATGTACGTTGCGACCCATTTATGTCAATTTGTAGGTTCCAAATATTATCGATTTAGCTCCTTTAACTGAAGATTTATCGATAAAATAGAAATTGTGCCCGGACAATTTCCCTCATAGCACACTATATGGCATATGTCCGTCTTTATTAGCCCAGTTTAGGAGCAGAACAGTAGGACGTTAAACCCCATTTCATTTCATTTCATTTCTTCTCTCCGAAAAAACTGATAGCGACAACCTGGCCTTGGGTGTAGCTACGTCTCGAGGGCCACCAATCTTAAGGCGGTGGTAGTGTAGGGGGGTGTGCAACGCTTAATCAGTAACGTCTACCATTACACTAACGAATGTGTAAATGTGTATATAGAATAGAAAAGAACAAAATAGAATTTGATTGCATTGGAACGCCCTTTTAGGGCGGCCATATACAATATGTAAATTTACAGACAGACAATACAAACCATACATACAGTATACATAATATAGAAAATAAAAACAGGACAAAAAAACAACATGCGCGCATAAAATAGATACGGGTAATATAATTAATATTATGTAGACATATAAATCACAAATTCTGTAACACTGTTCGGGGCAATGATGCTTGATGGATTGAAGAGATTGTTAAAACAAAAGGTTTGATTAGTAATGTTTACTTTTGATTTTTATTTTGCTTTTCATTTTCATTTCATTTTATTTAGGTTTTTAAAGAAATTTTGTTAAATCATGAATGATAACGATAGGCCACCATACCAAAAATCAAAAGCTCAACCAAAAGCAAAAGTTAAATCAAAACTAAAAATTAAATCAAAAGCAAAAATAAAAATAAAAGTAAAAGTTTAACCAAAATGTAAATTAAAATCAAAACACAAATGAAAACTATAATCATTTTTAAAAGTAATTTGAAATGTAAAACAAAAGTAAAAGTAAAAAGCAAAATAAAAATATTTGGTCGGCCTATCGCTATCATTCAACGTCCTTGACCCCAATCGGCAACCGTCGGCTTTTTCCGACCGCTTCGACTCGACGGTTTGTTCTCCCGCGGTAGACTACAAATAAAACTGAATCAGAACAGTATTTTCTTATGGATTTGCGAACACAATATATATATATCCAACCGTAAACATTACTAATCAAACCTTTTTTTTTAACAATCTCTTCAATCCATCAAGCATCATTGCCCCGATCAGTGTTACAGAATTTGTGATTTATATGTCTACATAATATTAATTATATTACCCGTATCTATTTTATGCGCGCATGTTGTTTTTTTGTCCTGTTTTTATTTTCTATATTAGGTATACTGTATGTATGGTTTGTATTGTCTGTCTGTAAATTGATGCCCATGTATAACTTTTTCATCTTTACATATTGTATGTATATGGCCGCCCTAAAAGCGCG